TTTTTTTTTTGAGATGAACCGTTTGACGCTCAAATGAGACGCGGAGGAGGATAAATCGCAGGGCGGCGCAAGGGCGGGCGGTGGACAGCGCCGCGGGGAAATACTGGTCCCAGAAAAGGCCCTGGAGAGACCCCCGAAGCGGGCTCTGCCCGCGCACCAGGCCAGGGGCAGTGATCCAGCATCCGCCCCCGCTCGAGGGACGTGGCCACAGGGGTGTCCCTGGGGTGACACCCAAAACGCCCACCTCGCTCCTTGGGGGTGAAGCCAGGCCAAAGCGCCCTGCCCCAGATACAACCCCAGACCATCAAGCAACGCTGTGTTAGGAGTTTTGGGGGTGTTTTTAAGCAACCCCCCAAAATAAAATGAATAAAACCCCTTTCCCGTTCCCTAGCAATGCCCCCGGGAAGGATCGGGAGCAAGGAGTGATTAAAGGATACGGGGGAGCGAGGTCTGGGGCAGGGGGCAGACATGGGAGCAGGTTGCAAAATGCAACCCTAGGTGCAGGACCCTCGAGCCCGTCCCCGCTCCGGGTTCTCGCTAGAGCGAACCTCGCCACAGATCCTACTGCCTCTCACTGCCCCACAGCAGCCTTCGCCCCCGCACGACTGGGTGTGTGGGGTGCAGGACCATTGGCAAACCCGAAACCCACAGCATCTGCAAAAACACGGAGCTGGGATGGGAGACTTGTCCTCTGGCCCCTTTCTCCTCCCGGGAGTTTGAGGGAGCAGCCAGAGCAGAGGAGACAGAGGGCTGCCTGGCAAGCACTGAAACATCCTCATCCACGCGTGTAGTGAGCGTGTCCATTCTCTGTGCTAACCGCAGAGCAAGCAGCAGCTCTTCTGCTCTCCAGAGGCACCATCCATGGAGGATCTTTCCTAGTTGGGGGTCTCCAAGCCCTGTCCAAGGGCAGCGTGCAGCTGGGCTGGGCAGCCCCAAGGTCTCAAACAGGGTAATGGGGTCCTGAGGCCACTTGGAAACGGCTGATGGCCAAGAGGAGACGGAGAGCCTCCAGCTTCCAGCCTCCCCACGTGCCGTGGATGACAGGCCGGGGACGGATGAGGGAGCCTGTCCCTCGTGCTCCAGGGGTGAGTCCGCCCTGGCCCCTCGCCGGCCCGCGGAGAGCCGGCTCCAGCTCCAAGCTCGTGCCGAGGGGACGGGGGGGAAAACAGGCAACAAGTGGCCCAGTCAGTCTTGCAAGAGGTGGACGAAGCTGGCTGGGAAGACGCCTGTGCGGGAGCCGTCACCCTCGATGAAGCCGACCTGGGGACAGGGAGAGGGCTGTCAGGGGGGTCCCGTCCTGGAGGATCTGGGGCGAGGACAGGGGAGGAATTTGGGGCCACGCTCACCCAGCTCTGCTCGTCCTCCTCCCGCGTCACCACGATCACCTCGCCCTTGGAGAAGGTCAGCTCCCGCGCCTTGTCCCCCTTGCAGTCGGCCACCGCCTTCACCCGCTTCTGCCGCCCCTTGGCCTGCCCGAGCACAGGGATCGGCGAGCAGGGTGAGGGACACGCTGCCGAGGCCACCCCATGCCACCCTCCCGCGGCCGGCCGGGGCGTGGCACCCCCCCCACCCCTCTCTCCAG